GGAATCTGATTTAACATGTAAAGCAATGGTGTGGAAAAGGGAATAATGGCATTAATAGATACAGAGGCATCGATGCCGATGATTAGCACTAGGGATTATTTTCAGCTAGGATTTAAGAAAAACAAGCTAGATGTTAGAAAACAAAAATATTTCAGACAGACAGAAGTGAAATAAAGATATTAGGATTAGTACACCTTCCTGTAGAGGTGGGAGGAGTAGTCATGGTGCAGCAAATGTATGTGGCACCCACCCATATGTAGAGCCAATGATATTAGATAGGAACTGGCTTCAAAGTAATGAAGCACAGATAAGCCTCAACTGATCACTACCACTGCTAAAAGATGGGGGAAAAGAGAAATACCCTTAGGTGGAAGGAAAACGTATCAGATTGCTCAAACGGATGAACCTCATTTTGATGAGGGTGAATTAGTTCTAACGGAGTCCATAGTAGATGATGATGATGCAAGTCATATCCCAATAATGTTAGTTAGTAGTAATACTAAAAGAACAATAAGAGTGCACAAGAGAGAAAATGTGAGGGAGGCTATACCAGCTATTACCGCGGGGTGGGGTCAGAAGATAGTAAAAGTAAATATAAGAATTCCATAATTAGGAAAGGGAATATCCTACGGTTTATAAGGGACAATAGAAACATGGTAGCTGACAGGGATAAGAGAAGATTCTACATCACCATGGAGGGCTTCAAATTAGATAATCAAACCACTAGCCTACACCCTACAATTGATCAACAACATATTGGCATTGATAAATCAACTTATTTTCCCACCCTTAATTTGAGGTCTGACTACTGGCAGGTAGCCCTTAACAAAGCCAATAGGGAGAAGGTTGTATTTGCCTGTCATGTTGGGTTGTACCAATTCACAGTTATGCCTTTCAGACTGGCTGATGCACCTGAAATTTTTCAGCAGGTCACATTGCTAGTGCTGGTAGAACTTGAAAAAGGTGGATAGTTAAAAAGGGTTGCTTGGAAGGGTTGAAGTAAATTAAGAATATCCAGGCCATAGACTGGGAACTGGACTTATGGGTATACAAAAGAAAGCCAACAGTAACTGTAAGAGCTACCACGCCCCAGGCCATTATCAAACTTCATATGGGTTGCTTTACCTTTGAGAAAACTTTAACCTTTCTGCCATCAGGTGGAGGAAAATTTTGATGCCCAGGACTCCTTTCTAGTCTTTGTAGATGTTTTGACTAAGAAGTATACAGGGCTATGGGAAGCCCTAATAAGGAAAACAAACTGTGCACAAATTACCCCAATTACTAAAACCAATAGATCTACATGAATTAGTGGATAATTAAGTGATAATGTGCAGAAATCACCAGGGGGTGAGGGGTGGGGGTTCTGGCAACAGCAAATATTAGAGTTATATCACTAGGTAGGAATATAGTTATCACAGTGCTAGTGATTGTTTTAGTGGTTTATGGGAGACATTGGCTGAAAAAGCATACGGTATGAAATGGGCCGGTGAGAGAATGTGAAAGCAATGCAAGGAGATTAATGAACCTCGTAATGACCCAGGAATCAGACAGATTGGAGAGGCTATAATTTCCCACTATACATGTGGAATCCGGGGGGGGGGGGCTCTAAAGGCATTTGTAGCCAATCTATTTCACATTTGTGGTGAGTTTCTGGGGGAAAAGATACTACCATGAACCTTCTGTATTAATTTCAGCTCCTTTTAATAATAAAAAAAAAAAAAACTTTTTTCACCCTTGTGTATGTCTGATGATTTTATACAACACAGGAACCCACCCGCAGACTGAAGATGAACACACACACAAACATATATATATATATATTTAAGATTTATTTTAGTTTTGTGTGTTCTGCTGCAAATTGTTGCAACTTATAGGCGCTATTTTTTTATTTATTTAAGGTGTTTTAAAAGCAAGAAATGCAATCATTGTGCAGTGAGATATGGAACTTGTGCATCTTATATTATGAGGAAGGTCATATGATGACACTCCTCATTTTTCTTGACAAAGGGGCAAAACAGGTTTTCACTTATGTGGTATGCTAAAAAAATTTTTTTTTTTTTGGTGGTGGTGTTATGAAATGGAAAGATTTGAAGAGGGGGTTAAAGTCCTTGTGTGTATTTTTGGAAGGTCTGTAGAAATGACACTTCCTGTGATCTAAGTTACTTGAAGGGGTGGTTAAGATCTAGTTTTTTAGTATTGTTTTTCTCTTTGGAAGGTTTTTGGAGACTGATGCTTCCTGTAATGCAACATGTTTCTAGGGGTGCTTGAAATCTTCTTGTGATGGCTTGAACAGAAGAGAAGGGCTGCTAATTATCCTCTAGTATATTAGGATATTTCAGGGGGTGAAAGCCCATCCAGAATGTATCACTCTTTGGATTGAACTACCCTCAGAGGTGGTTGGGGTCTATCTGTATTTTTTTATGGAACTATGAAAGAGTTCCATGTTTTGAACTGCACATGAAATATTGCTATGATACTTACTTGCTTGGTTTTATTTATTTATTTATTTAAATTTTTTTATTGATTGTTCTGTAGTTATTGTAATTTATATGACAAAATTTGGGGGTGGGAGGGTTGGGGTATTGTAACAATACGATTCTTAGGAGGTAAAAAGAATCTAAGTCAATTTAATTGCTAGAGATTCCAGTCTTCAGCCCACCTTTGAATTGGCAAACATAAAAACTTGTTAGTGATTTTTAGATAATTGTAAGAGTCCTTTGAAAAACCAACCACCCATCCATCCAGATTTTGGGTGGTCTCCTTTTCCATAACACAAGTGGATGGATAGGGGTGGTGGGACCCCAGCCAGTATCCATATAAGCAGAGAGGCAGGAAGTCAGCACCCAGTAAGGAAGGGACCAGCGAGGAGTCAGCTAGACAGTGAATGTAATGGTCCTCTTTCTGTGGCCAGAAGTTCATAAGATAGCAGTCCACCTCAACAAAGCCGAAATACCACACTAATATAGACATTAATCATGAGTACTGTTCTGGCAATTCCTATTGTACAGCAGCATCCCCTTTATAATTGTGGGTCAAATTGATACCTTTGCAAGACTGACCACGTCCTGTTTGAAAAATGTGCAATAATCATTAATGTAAATTTTAGATTTCTTAATGTTTATCTGACAAAATTTAATACATATTTTAGTTCTATCACATTTCCCCCATTCCTCTAAAGAAAAACTTCTTGGTTACCACATTGAAAGTATTTTTCATTTACTTTATTTATTGTCTTTACTATTCAATTGAGCATTTGTTCCTGCTCCCTTTATAAATTGTTACCTGCAATTTTCTTGAAAAATGTTGGCAGCTTATTTGTCTGCCTTCTCAGCTTCTTTTTCTAAATACAGTGTGGCAAAAATACCTCATATTAGTGGCTATGATGTCTTCATTGAGCTAATGTCTTACCATTATGTGATAGGTATTTCTGCTGCACCCTATATAAATTCCTTTACTCTTGTGAGTATATATAAAGAGGTTTCTATAGATTCATAAAACACAAAATATGTGAGAGATTTTTCTATATCATCAGAAACTCCTATACATATAGGATTGTCAATTGATACATTTTTACGTGACGTACACTTTTAATGACAGTTTTTAACAAAATGCCACTATTTAAGTCTTAAATTATTTTTAGATAAATAGGAATTTCTTAAAGTATTTCTAAAGAATTATTTTTTGGATTGAAAATAAAACCATGAATTCTTTGAAAATTAAGTTTCAGATATGAAGCTTTTACGAAAATAATCTGAGTAAAGATATACTTTCCTTAAAAAAGGAAAATAGAATCTTACTGCCTTAATGATGTTCATGGCCGAGTTGTAAAGCATGACATAACAAACAATGGTTTCCCCTACAAAGAGATATAGGTAGGATCCTTGCCAGAGAACATATTTTCTTTACTAAGATCTCTTGAATGCACAAACCAATAGACATAATACACACTAATAAAAAAAAAAAAAAAAAGTTTAATGATAGTAATTTGTCTCTCAAGTCTGAAATTTATCAGTCTTTTTTCATATTGATTACTAACCATAAAGTAAGTATATAAAAGCAAATATCTTTAGTTTTATCTGTTTAATTATTTGTGGCATCATAAGAAGTATACAGCACCTTTCAAGAGGAAAGTAATAGCCACCTTTGAAAAATCAACATTTGACATCCTAGATTTGATTGGTGGAGATACTCATTGATCTCAGTAAATTACCATAAAAATTTGGAGGTGAGGGTATTTGCTTTATATAAAACAAAAAAAAAATACCTAAAATGTCAAAAGACTAAAAAATAAATAAACTGACCAAATGTCACTATGACTCAGATAAATTACAAGTGCCTTTGGCATGTTCAAGTGTTTTTAATAATTAAAATTTACTAAACAATTGATGTCTCTATAGTTATAATCCCCCCCCCATATCCAGCTAATATCAATTTTTCTACAAATTTGATTCATTAAAAAAAAAAAAAAAAAAAACTTAAAAAAAACTGTCTATGATTACTGTTGCCTACAGAATGGACCATAAATAGTTACACCAAGGACATCTTTTCTTTGTGATTTGGTTAATATGAAACCCTTTTATTCCATTCCTATTCACCTTAATTTTTATAATTGTTTTAGGTATTTTACCAAAGATTCGGTACAATTGTGTATAGCATTAGTTGGGTCGGGGGGAAAGAACCTTGATAAAGATTTTCCCTTTCTCAAGGAACTTCTATAATTAAAAAAAAAAAAGGTTAATTTTAATGAATGTCATAAAATAACTGACTTTATTTTAATAAAATGAACTCTGAAGTAGAACACAGTGAATCCATGAGTTTTGCTTCTTCCAATTTAAAACTCTTAATTTTGCATAAAAAAATCTCTATCTGCATAATTTGTCCAAGTGGCTATTCTTTCTGAGTTTCCATTTAACCAGAATTTGATTTTATACAAATTAGCATTTTCTCCTTTTACAATAGCTATTGACATGTTTTTTTTTTTTTCATTCTTATTCCATCAGCTTCCACAACTTCATTCCCATGTACCAGTTATGGCTTCAGTACATGAAAGATCTCATCCATTTTGGCAAGTGAGTAAAGATAACTTCTTTGTAATTCATGATAAAATGTTTAATAATAATTTTAAAATTATCAAATTCATTCACATGTCACAGCCAGCATAGGTTTTTTCTTAACATACATAAAAATTGTTATTTCTTCCTAATATCAGTACTTTTAAAAGGTTAGTATTTAATACATGCCACACGGTCCAATTTATTTCATTTACTTTATATATGTATATAATAACAGAAACAATAGTAAATATGAGCAAATATTTTAATGGAAGAAAAAGTATTCAATACCCATTCATAAAAGAGAGTAAATTTATACTACTGGAGAATGTAAATCTTTCTGTCAATAACAGTTAAGAACATTCTCCAGATCTGAGATTCTGAAGTTATTCTTTTGTTGCAAAGATTAGAATTTTGCAAAGATTAGAATTATGAGTAAAGAGCTACAACTTCATCTGATCAGTTTGGCAATTCAAGAAGGAATGGAAGGAATGTGGCTCAATAATGAACTGTCTTTGAAAAGATTTCCAGCCACGCTGCAATGCAGAGCCAACAAGAATTATTCACAAGGAGTTGGTATTAGGCCCCCAAGCATTGTTGGGGGGGGGGGGTTAGAAGTTACACATTACGCTGTCAGCAACCCTCTCCACCAGCATGGCTTGCAAGTATGAAAAGAAATGCTCTTGAAGGCAGGCTAGAGTTTGGCTTGAATTCCTCCTTTTTTTTCTTCCTCCAGATAATCACTATTGCAACTGGGGAGCATGTAGGTAGTGGTGATGTGAGACTTTTTTCATTATATTGTACAGGGCAATGAATGACACCATCTACCAAGATGTATTGAACAAAAAACTTATTCGGACTATCATCCTCATCTTTTTTGACATTTATCACAGCATTTCGGCCATTGTACACCGGCCTTCTTCAGGTGGTTAGAATGTCAAACTAAACACTTTATTTCACTTACTGGGGTAGACTGTTCTAGTTCCAGGTGCCATGTCTAATGGATGTCAGTTATCAGTTATCTCCTGTTAATGCCCCTCTCCACCACCTTAACCAGGTATTGGGTCCTGTAACTGGATTTAATTAACACCTTTATCCACTGTGCCATGTGTCCTTAACTGACATCCATTAAACATGGCACATGGAACTAGAACAGTCTACCCCAGCGAGCAAAATAAAGGGTTCAGTTTGACATTTCAACTACCTGAAGAAAGCCGTGTCATACAATGGACAAAACGTTGTGATAAATATGGAACAAAGATGGGGATGATAGTCTGAGCAATGTAAATAATGTACATAATACCTCATCTCAGAAATATAGAAAGAAACTTATTACATTTGTTGAGGCTTTAAAATTGAAGCACAAATGGTTTGCAAACGTTTCAGCCAGGATAGTAACCAGGCCAAAATGAAGATCTGCCATGAAGAGTGACTCAAAATACCAGCAGAAATGTGTTGAAACTTAACAGCTACTCATAGCAAATGACTGGAAGCTATTGTGGCAAACAAAGAATTTGGCTTCATTTGATTCCATATCAGGTATTGAGTATGGTTTCCCTCCATCTTTTTGGGGTATATTTGCTGGAATTTTTGCTCATATTTATAAATATGAAACCAATATGTGGTTTTTAGTTTTAAGGTAAATAATGCAATAAACTTGTTTGGAGGAGGTGTAATGAGTATATTTTTTTTTTGTCTCTCTCTCTCTCTAAAAGTTGACACTGTAATTTTTCCATTGCCTTGTAGCCATATTTTAAACAAAATTACCAAAAAGATTGAACACATGTATTTACGCATATCAAAAGTAAATAATAAAATATAGACTTTGCTAAAGGTAAAATTTCAGCGAAACAGGAACAAACCAAAATGAAAATTAAGAATTTAAAAAAAAAAAAAAAATTAACAACTCTTGAGAACTTAATATGCTTGTTAGAGATAGTTTCTGTATGTATAAATTTCTTAATATTTATTATGCTTAAATGTGTTGTGAATTATCCAGTAATAGTAATTCTCATTTTTGTAATGTTGTGAAAAATAATAAATTCATTAGCCTGTCATTTTATTAGTGTAAACAGCAGCAACTTGCCAAGTGTACAGATGAAAATCCTAAAGGCTGACTATCATGGCTGCTTACTGACTGTGTGTCAATCAAAATGTCCTTCATTTGTTGGAACAACAGGGATTGTTGTAATGGAAACCAAGAACACTTTCAAGGTAATCACCAAAAATGACAAACTGAAATGTAAGTACTGTATAATTTTCAATATTTATATAAAAAAAAAAAAAAAAAAAAGCATGCAACTTACTAGTATTAAATGTTAAAATATTTTGTAAATTACTATGAAGTATAATATCCATGTTGACTTGCTGCATGAAAAACTTATTTTCAAAAAAACATTCTAACATTAATTTATCTGTCTTTACACCAGATTGATGATGAGAGAACTTTCTTTTTTTTTTTTTTTTACAGGCATTCCCAAAAGGAATTCCATCTTCTGCTTCCAATTAGGTGATTATTGCTATACCCTTTATGGCAACCATTTGCAAGTAAGAGCAAGTGAAAGGACTCATCGCAGGTTCAAAACAAAATCAACAATTGCTTTGTGAAAAATAAACTTCTTTATAGTTTCTTTGATCTTTTTTTTTTTTTCCATTCTGCTCTAACCAACCGAGTTGCTATTTTCAATGTCATTTGTATTCACTTCTAGGAACATAGTTATAGTAATTCATTAACTATCATATGCAATAAAATGAAAATATACCAGTTCCCTCCCTTTAAGTGAATCAAACTTTTCCAATACTTCATTTTATCAATCATCTTTAATCCAATCTCAAGACTAAATATAAATTTTAAGAAAACAGAATATCATGAGATAAAATATGTAATACTAGTTTCTAGTAATGCAAGCACACCTTTAAAAAAAACTGTTGACTATGCTGCCAAGTGAGATCATCTTCAGAGCAAATAACACACTCCATATATATATATATATATATATATATATATATATATATAAGCAAGTGTAAATGGATATAAATCCGACAGAATGTAGAAATTTTGAAAAACAAACAAAAATCCTTAAATGTAGTTAAAATGAAAGAATTGTCGACGTCAGACGTTTCGGTTTTAATAAACCATTTTCAAGACAAAATTCATTAAAATACAAATTCAGTTCAATATGACGAAAACGATGGACATAAAAACACAAACCTAAATTCGTTTTTTACAACATGGAAGATTGCAAGCTTATCCGGAAATACAGGAATTTTAAAATAATCACGAACTTTTAGGAATACGTTATGAAAGCGTCGCCCATGTGACTACGGCGTGACCACGTTAAACGGAAAAGCTGATCTTTTAAAAAATTTTCAGTTATCTGTTTTACTCTTGGATAAGACTTGTGTTTTATGTCCATCGTTTTCGTCATATTGAACTGAATTTGTATTTTAATGAATTTTGTCTTGAAAAATGGTTTATTAAAACCAAACGTCTGACGCCGCATCCATAATTCTTTCATTTTAACCACATTTATGATTTTTTTGTTTGTTTTTCAAAAAATTTCTACATATATATATATATATATATATATATGTGTGTGTGAAAAGTGTATATAAATATATAAGTTTGTCTGACGATCGCTAAAGCGTGAAACCCAGGGTCACAAACTCACATCTATCCATCCAAATATATATATATATATATATATATATATATATATATATATATAACATGTTTCATGTTAACTTGAAACATTTTTGATTATCTCCCCTCAAGTACTATCATTTGGCAGTCATGTGCATCGTGAATATTTCAATTATGAAAAGTTATTATTCATAATGTCTACCAATCAAGGTTTTCTCCATTCATATTTTTATAAGACAAAGATATGAAATATATAAACACATCTTTGACATCAGAAACTATTAAAATGCCTAGCAAACCATTACTCTAGAATAAGTAGATATGTGAGAATTGAATTCAAGTCATACAAATAAATAATGAAAGTCAAACCAACCAAGTCAACAATCAGCCATATTTTCTTAAGAAAGTTACACCAGAAAATGCATGTAAAAAAATTATAAAGAAACCATTCCATTTTTTTTTTTTTTTTTAACAAATTATAATGCTTTAAATTAAAAGATTTCACTCACTGACCTCTCACCAAAATTGTTTTATCAATTATACCAAAACTTTTTTCTTTTTTTTTTAAATTTATTTCGTATTTTTCATATCATTCAGTCTTTACTCCTGAGAAGACATCAGTAGTCTGTCCAAAATGGAGGGGAATCAGCCACAATTAAGGGCTAAAACAAGTTGGGGAAGTAGATATAAAAAAAAAAAATTTTTTCTTTAGACACATTCTAAAGCTTCCAACAAGTGTGGATGCTATCTGCCATAGATATTATTATCACACAAATTCTAAGATCAACTTTTCTTTTAAGACAAGTCAGGCATTACTTCTTCCCTACATATAACATTTCTTTATGTGAAAGTGTGTTTTTTGTCTTGTTTGTTTCGGTTTGTTTTTTTTTCTTCAATATATTGGGTGGGAGAGAAATTTTACAAGTTAAGGAGTTTCAAAAGAAATAAACTTAGAGTAAAGGAGGTAAGAGGATTCATCTAAATCTGTGTGGTGAGGGGATGGATTACTTTTATAATTTATGCTTTTTCAAGTAGATTATTAAAATAAGAACTTTCTTATATAACAAACAGCAGGCCAATTAAAAGGAAAAGAAATTTTTGTAATTAATTATGCTTAACAACAACAACAAGAGGGTGGAAAGAAAACATCACCTTTCCCCTCTAACTTACCCCTACCCCAGTAATTCATTTCTTTCCTTTCTATCTTCTTCAAAAATTGCTTAGCCAAGTGGGATGGAAAAGGAGTTTACATGTTTCTAAAAAGCAAGAATGCTTAAAAGAAGAAAGTGGGATAGCAGCTGGAAGAATGAAAAGCCAAAATTAAAATAAAAAAAATGGGGGTGGGAGTCAGGTTTGCTAACTTTATTGCAGAAAAATAAAAATGGGGATCTAGCAAAACAAACAATGGAAAAGAGGGAGAGCTAAGCAACAAAAATTAAAATTGGGGAATATATATGGGATTTCATTTTTCTCTACACCCTTCCTTTGTAGTCTAAGGTGTTTATTGGTTGTTTTTTTTTTGTTTTTTTTTGTTGTTCCCTTCCAATTTTTTTTTTCAATCTGTCTTTGGAACAAAGAACCATTTTAACAATTTGTTGTAGTTATTTTGATTTGGTTGGGAAAAATTATGGTTTTTGTTTTGGCCTGAAAAGGTGTGTGTATGTTTAATGGAAGGGCAAGAGAAGACTTTTGGAGCCTAAGGTGTCAACTTTGAATATACTGTTGGTGAAAATTTCTTTCGCAGATATTTTAAGATGTACAGAGGGATGCAGCTGACTGATGTGATTACAACCACTTTCCAAATAAAACTGCCAGTCTTTAGAAAGGATGCATCTGAAAAACAAAACGCCATCAATCTTCAAAAGAGAGAATATTATTTCTTTTCTAAAACACAAAAAAAATAGTCAAGTGTTACAGTAGGTACCTCCATGAGATTGTTATAGCATGAATAAAAAGGGGCTTAAACTTAAAAAAAAATTTTTTTTTTGTCTAAATGTTTATGTTATTATTAAGAGGTAAGATAAAAGTATTTTTTGGGTATTTTTTTTTTAAATTGTTCCTAGCACATCTGAAATTTTCATTAAATATTTTTTTTTTTTTTTAAGTCAGCAAAATTGACAGATAATCGATCACAACCTTTTTTTTTTTATTTCCCCATTTTATAAAAACAAAAATAAATCAATTATAATTTTTTCTAAATTTATTTTAAGAAAATTAGAAATTATAAAGTTTATTTAAAATATTTTGAAACAAACATTACTTACTTTCCTCACTGAAAAAATGTAGTTTAAAAATAAGACAAAGCAGGTTTTAACATTTGGTGTCACTTGATGGATGATGAGTGACGATTTCATCATGTATTGACAGTTTACGTAAGGGAAAGTTACTGTACAGAAGAACAGAAGTGACATAATTATTTAGTTTTAAGTAAACCAACTTATTTACCTCATTATTTTTAAGGAAAACTTTCAGCACTCAATTATTTTTTTTTTTTTTGTTTGTACTTAGCTTTCACCTTTATGTTAACAATGCTTTACGGAAAATATATTATAAAAAATTAAAACAAGAGTGAGATTAAATTTCATAAGAAAGGTATCTAATTCATTTATAGGTACCTTTTTTATGAAATTTTATCAGAAGTGTATATAAATTTGTATTTCCATTCATTTTATTATTAATTTTGATATTTCATTTATGGAAAAATATCATAACTGAGATAATTAGAATTATAAAATAAGATCATATAAATTTCATAAGATGATACTGATACTTGTAGGTACCCTTCTCAGTTATAAAGATATAAAAAAAAAATTTTTGTCATGACTTTAAAATTTGTTAATAGTTTCTGAAAGTTCCATTAACATTCAACAATTATTTTTGTTTTTGCAAGATTTTCAAAATTAATGTATGTCAAACAAAAAAAAAAAGTGCTAAAGTTTTGTTATTTAGTAGTTTCGCTGATGCAAAGAGAAACAAGGTTTTTTTTTTGGGGGTAATCAAAAGCTAGAATGTTCTAAAATAATTAAAAAATACTTTGTTCTTTTCTCTTAATAACAAATATTTAGATGATATAATTTTTTCACCAAGTTTGGCATCTTTTTCATCATGCTATGCTGCTTGTTTTTTTTTCTTTTTTTTTTTGTGATTTCATGGCTTGGGATTTTTTTTTTGAGGATGGGAGAGATAAAACAGTTCTATATTTGGTTCATCACAATGTTGGTCTTTCAGCTGTTATCAAAACTGTTTTTGGATTATTTTATAGGAATTTAGATCAATGTTGGCTATTTCTCATTGCATACATTTTAAATAGACACTTCATGTTAGAATGACATTTACATTTTTCAATGCATCAGATTGGTAAGAATGAGCAGGTGCTGAAAAGTTCTCAGCCAGGCCTGTTTTCTATATATTCAAAATGTTAAAATGACAGTTAAACATAATGGTCCCGCCATAGCCACCGAAACCGTGAGATCACCCCTGGTCGGCGGCTGATGAAGTCAGGGTATCGCATGTGCTAACACACGTTGTATGTTAAAAAAAAAAAAAAATTAATGGTCCTATTTCATCACTAATACTCCACTTATTTCTTGACCACTGACAATACCTTTTTCTTGGTACTTCAATTTAGTGTCAAAATATAGCAAGACAATTTTAGCCTACATAAAAGAGTTTGCCATAAAAAAGAAAGTTTTCTGCAACCCATGTCAAATCAATTTTCCAGTTTGATATGAGTGAAGGAGACTTTGGAAGAACATTTGTTGTATGCCTTTTCATTCCTCTAAAACATTTACTAATCATCTGTGTCAAACTCCAATCCTAACCTTCCCAAATCGGTTTTTTGGGGGTCAAAGTACATCTAGCTTTTACAATCTGCATGATATAGCACATGCACTTTGTTCCTTCAACAATTTAGCCATCAAAATGCATAAAAAGGAGAAATTTAGCATATTAATGACACTTCTTTAGAACAAAAAATATTCAGCTGCAACAAAAGTAGGTTCAAATGTAATCAATGCTAAGATATTGCCAGGATTCTGATTTCATTCCACCTCAACCACCACTGTTAGAATTTGCTGGGTAACACACCATTTTACTCCTGTCTCAACAGCAAATCCGGCATTGCTAAACAAAGTTAACCTGGTCGTTGGTCTTGAAAAGGGCCTCCAATGTGTGGTTGACTGAGGCAGGAAATGGCCTCCAAAATGAAACTGCTCTCACTTACCCACCATAGAGAAACTTCCCAGCCTCCCCTCTCAGTATGGTTGACAAGAGCATCTGACTACATCTTCTTGGTCTCATGTTTTCCACTGACCTGAGGTGGAATAACTACATTGAATCAATAGCTGCATCTACTGCAAATTGGCTCTATGTAGAAGGTTTTTCTTGTCCATCCTTCACATTTACAAATCTACCATTCATCCAAGCATTGAATACTGTTGCTATACAATGGTCTTGTGCCCCTGCTGTTCATCTCAAAATTCTCAACAAAATCCAAAGGCATATATGTAATGTGATGAGTCCTGACCTGGCATCTAGACTCTAGTCACTTTCTCACAGACATGAATTGGCTTCCCTGTCTTTTCTACAAATATTTTCATGGCAAATGCTCTGACAAGCTATTTTCACTGCCAAAGTTTTGCCCACCAAAGTTTGTAAAAGTATTTTTGTATTGTACATTTAACTGTCATACATAAATTTTAAACTCAAAAATGAAGGATTTGTGGACATATGTTTATATGGTCTTTTGTCCTATTTTTTGGTGTCAGGAACCCACCCACAAAGTTTCTAAAAATATTATATATTTTCTATTTATACATTATTTAATAGATACAATTAAATACCATCATTTGATCTGATGTGCTGTTAACCATTCAGCCACAACCAAACTAACGAGACGCTTCTTTGCGGTTGAATGCACATCAGATCAAATGATTCCCATTTGGAGTTACAGGTCTGATTACTGTTAGAGAAGCACTTTTTTTTTTTTAATGAGATTTCATGAACATTCAGGCCGGTAAATGTAATTAATATTGTTTATTTAAAGAACAGAGCATTTACTTATCTTAAGATACAATTTATTTAACATATAAGCAGAAAATATATTAAATAGTTGTTAGGCTTAATCCATTTTATATATATATATATATATATATATATATATATATATATATATAATAGACATCTGTTTTTTTGGTAAACTGTAAATTTACATGTATTCAAAAATTTTAAATAAATTGTGCATTCTTGCAGGACGAGAACCTGCACCAGCACTTTCAGTCAAATTCAATTACCCAAGTTAAAAATCTCTAAGCCCATGTTTATTTTTGTATATGAAAAATAATTTCTAAAGAATTAATAGACTTTATTTATAATCTGGAAAAAAAACTGATTTCTTATTAGTTTAAATGTAAAATTTTGTGGATGACCATGTTTGAGTAGATATCAGTTTTTTCTTTTAAACAGTGTAAGTTTACATCTTGCATGTCTGTGTAACTTCAAAACAAAAGGGATGAACAAAGTTCACTGCTAAATCAGCCTATCAAAGCAAATTGAAATTAATGGCAAAATTTTGCACTGCTGTGTCACTTACCAAAGAAATCCTTGAGAACAACCAAAGCTATAACATAAATGCCAAGACTGAAGAACTCTGCAAGAATCATAAGCCAATGCCACATGTGGATAGTGAGTGCCACCATTAGGAGTTCAGTGAGAATGAGGGACGTGAATGTTATGGCCACTACATGGATAAATTCCTCCTCAAATAAAAGCAGGGCACCATACATGATTATTCCACCTAAAAGAAGAAATGATTTCCAAGTACATTAACATGTATAGGGGTCATGTAACAAACATTTTAAGCAGTGCATTTTACTCATCAGTGTGGCAAGTTTAGCCTTCAAATTTCAACACAAATTGAACTTTTACAAGAATAGAATTAATGCCCATTTCAATTCCCCAAAATTTAATTTCTTAATTTAGAGAAATGATCAAGATGACAATGGATCATTTTATGGATTTTCTTAACTAAAAAGTTTTATTTAATCCAACTAAAACCTATTAAAATTACTTTTTTTTTTTTTTTTTAACTGTACATTTTGGGCAGAGTAATATCTATATAGGTCATATATAACAAAACCAAACATTTTTTTACAAATAAGAACAAGTTTTGTGAACTTCCAGACAAAATTGGGGAATATATTCTTGCTTGAAACCCTGAAATCTTTAAATATAAAGTCATCTGTAAGCAGCATCATATATAAACTCACCTTGATAAATACTGATTAGTACCCAAAGGAAAAAGGTTTTGAATGAGAGTGACCGTCCCTGAAGTAAAGAAACAAAAGAATTTTATTTTCACCATAATAAGAAAAAAAAAAAGCAAAAATAGTTTTTAGGGATCATTTTACATCTTCCCACCTAGACAGAGTAGAAGGGTTCAACTACCAAAACTAGTTGGGACAATCACCTATGGCTAACAGCACTTACAAGCTATCATTCTTCCTCTGCTTACAATAAAACACTCTTAACATACAAAGTGTGACAAATCTGCTGAAATACCTGACAGGCTTTGAAATATAAAATAAAATAAAAAATAATGTTTGAAAATGTATTAATTTATATAAGTGAATAATATATTTTTTTAAACTTTTAATAAAATAAAGCATTTCACTCCCTTAGATTGCATTGCAAAAGAAGGTGGATGTTCAAATGGCTATTGTAGTGACAAAATGATTAGAGTTTTGTTTAAATTTATAAATCATTTTAGGCAAAATGACAGCATGTTCCTAATTACTTTCCCATAATGTTCAACTTAATTTATCCAACCAACCAAATTTATATATGTGTATGTATGTAAACATTATGTAAGGTAATTCTTACCTTTGTGAGTTCTTTATAAAGTTCAGGATATGTCATGGCAATACCTGAAGAGACATCTTTATCAAGCACCAATGAAAAAACAGGAAACATGGTGAAAATTGTGGCATAGCTGAAAAACATAATAGTATTTTCTCAGGTTTTAAATCATTATTACCTTCCTAACACCCAGCTTTTCAAAATTGTAGCTACCAATAAAAAAAGGCATTATCTGTCTATATCTCTGAGATGAGGTATTATGATTACTTACATTATTCAGACTTATCCTCATTGCCATATTCATAATGTTTCAGCCGTTGCATACTCCGGCCTTCTTCAGGTGAGTGAAATTTCGAACCAAACCCTTTATTTCATCCACCGGGGCAGATTGTTCTTGTTCCACATGCCATGCCTCTTCCAGATATCTCAGTTATTTTTCTTTAACTCAGCTCTCCAAGTTTGGTTCACCACTGCTGTAGCCTGGTATTGAATTCACAACTTGTGCATGGCACGTGGAACTAGAACAATCTATCCCTGTGGACGAAATAAAGGGTTCGGTTTAAAATTCCAATCATCTGAAGAAGGCCGGAGCTGAAGAATGGCCATAATGTTGTGAATATGGCAATGAAGATGAGGATAACAGTATGAATAATGTAAGTGAAGAAAAAAAAAAAAAGAAAAAAAGGCATATTTTGCACATTCCAGTAAGAATTACAGTAAAGCATCACCTTAATCTTTTAATATTTTTTTTTTTAAAAGTATATTGGCTTTTTGAAATGTCATTCCAAGGTTTTGGCAAGTTGATTAATTAGATTAAGGAAAACCTATTTGATTTGCATAAAGGTTTTGCAAAATTAAACTAGGAAAGTACATTCTTTGCAAGTAAATAAGAGTTATAGGCTGGTCCGAGAAAAGTTGAATTATTGGGATTTTTCTATAAGGTTGTTTTTGGGAAGTTTCCTAGGGAATTGGATAAAAAAAAATTCATGGCTCAAAAAGTCTCATCAATCAGCCTTCTAATTAACTGTGGCACTAAGTCAGCTGGATGTCTCTTAGCAAAGACAGAATCTCATGCAATGACTTTGGAAAGACTCCAAGATGAGCTATGAATTGCAGTAGACAGCTTGGATCATCAGCTTTGTTTCTGTATGAATGATTGTAAAAAAAAAAAAAAAAAAGACTCAGCAGAAGTGTGCACACACAAGATAATATTCATAAGAGTGATGCACTATTTTATTCTTTTCTCAATTTATAAATATTCAGCTCATTCAGTTTTGTGATTGCTGAATAAAAAAAAAAAAGCATTTTTCTCAAAGCAAACATTTTTAAATGCTAGTTTTTATATATATATAAATCATCCTAAAGCTACAAACTCTCAGTACAAAAATGACAACTTCTCATTGATGTGTTGCAGTAACCAGTGAGATGCATGACAATCTACACCCAAGCAAGATCAACATTTGATACATCAATATGAATTGGAAGTGGGTTACATCGATTAAATACATGGAAATTCAATCAGGCTTGTAAGAAAAATATAAACTCTGTAAATGGCAAGAAAACTTAAAATATCGCCAATAACTTTTTTAAAAAAAGAAAAACAGAAAATCTTAATTTAAATATCAATCTGAACACTGGATGTTACCAATACAAAAAGTGTTAGCGCCATTGTAAATCTGTTTCTCTTAACACTATACAAAAGAAGCAACTGAAAATTGTTTTCTTTCTCTATGCTAAATGTACTTAATATCATGGGGCGGGGGCATAAAAACAGCTAATAATTGATAACTTTTAATTTGCTTAAACCAGAACAAAAAAATTATAAAAGAGAAAAAAGTTAGATAACCCATATTAAAAACATGTTCCTCATGTTTTTTACTTTTCACAGCAGAGAAAAAAAAAATTTTTTAAAGTATATTTAATTATTCAATTTTATAGAAATTTTAACAATAATTGCCATCTTTTTTCTTCAACACTATTGTCCATGTTAATCCCTAATTAATGCCATCTTTCTCCCCAATTGTAAATGTACTTACCCAACCATAAGGAAGCCTGGAAACAAAGAGACAGAAGCAAAATAGAAGACAGAACAGAAGACAGCTTGCATAGTGGAGATGATGAGACCTCGATGGATGACAAACTGGGCCAAGGCAGCAGAACGTTTGTAGCTGCAAAAAAAATTAATTCATGATTTAGTCATCTTCCTCAATCAGGCAATGACTGCACAAAGCAAATATTTTTAATTCTTTTAAAAACTATATGAATGATCAATACAGGGAATTTGCAACTTCAATCATTTTACATATAGAAACATACCAGGTTATAGGTTATAAAAAAATACAAGGAAAAATATTCAGTCATGGCTGTCCTTTGGGTCCAAAATCATTAGTGGATCTGGAGGTTGCTCCACAAACAAAGTCTGAAGAAGTGGGAACATTGGAAGTCAGTGGATGTGACCAATGCTAAAGTTGCATGGTGGCATCAATTGCATTTTTTATTAGGCCAGGCTACTTCGAAGTTGACTGATACTTGCTGGACAATGGTATGTCAATGTGATCAGTTGATAGCACACTCCTCTAGCTTCTTCAGTTTGATTTTTACACTGGTGAGGATTAGTTTTAATTGTCTTTCTATCATTTTGTTGGTTGGCCTTGATGTCCTCATACAACAAGCATCTAGGAATGCTCTATGCAAATGACATGGCCATTCCATTGAACTTGTGCTTGATGAGCATTGATTCAATGCTAGTCAAGTCTGTACAGTCCAAAATTTCAAGGTTGGTGATGCAATCCTGGAACGTGATTCCAAGTATGGAACAAAGACTGGAATTTTTACAATTTCTTCATGTGTCTGCAGTACAAGGTCCATGTTCCACATCCATAGAGGATAGAAGGAAAGATGTTTTCATTTTGTTGACAGGCATATGTGACGGTCAAGTACTCTGTTATGGAATCTTCCTAATGCCTACTTTGCTTTGATGATTCAAGCATCAATTTCTTTGTTCAGAAAATAAAAGATTGTGCCACCCAAATATTTGAAGATATCGACATTTGCAAGCTGGATACCATCTAATGGTGATGGCTGATGCATACAGGGGCTAAAACACTTCAGTCTTGTAAAAACTGATCGTCAGGTCAAACAATTTTGAATCCATGCCATGAAGGATTGATCAGCTGTAATTTGAATTCCCCATGAAGGCACAATCATTAGCAAAGAGATCCTCCTGGAGAAGATGTTGAAGAATCTTTGTTTTGGCACCAAGACAATGTAAGTCAAAAATGGCACCATTCAAACAATACAGAACCCTTCCTATAGACCTTGAATTGCATGAGGCAGCATGCACATGAAGAGGACTGAGGCTAGGACACAGTCTTGGTTCAGTAAAAAAAAATGTTACCAAAGAATTTTAAACCAAAAATACTTTAATTGTTCTTAAAAATTAAGATATGAATCTCAAATAATTTGATGCTAATGCAAAGATCTTTGTACCATTGTAACACTGTTTTTCTAACTTTGAAAGAAAGTTAGTGATTGATGAACCTGGTTTACGTAAAGGTTGTCTTGACAAAACTCTTAGAAATAAAAAAAAAATACATTATTTTGAAAACCAGAAAGAATTAAATAAGCAGAATCTTCAGCTTCTGAGATAATACAACATGCTCATTAGCTATGCCCTCACATATTAACAATTTTTTCTTTAACTGATAATATTGGATTCTTTCAATATTTCTACAGAACAATAAGCCTTTAAAATGTTCTGTACAGTCATGGAAAATTTACATATAAGCTTAATACTATATAGAGGATGAGACAAAAGTTACTCACCATAGGGATAATTTACTAAAAGTAAATGCAAATTTTATTCACTAGTTATTTAATTGTTATATGTCCTCCTCCTTTTTCAAAAACACATTTCAATTCTGTGCCTGCATGATTCATTAACATTTTGGAAAGTTTCCTCTGTCATATTTGCATTCATATTTAATTCTTTCTTTAAGTTTCTCAATATTTATTGGGTGCATCTGATAAACATATAATGGCCCCACAGTAAAAATCCAAGGGTGTGAGGTCTGGTGACCTCTCAACAGAACCTCTTTGACCTATCCATTAACCCCTATGGATGCACAACTTTTACCCCACCCTGTACATTGTCTTGTAATCCTTCCTTTCTAATAGCAAATATCTTTATACAAATCACCTGGTCAGGAGTAATTATTCTGTCCTCCTAATTAGTCAATAATAGCATCAGGTGTTAAATTTACTTAAAATATATGTACATTTCTTTTAATTCTCACTAATGGATTAATTCTTTGGAATTTAAGAGCAACAATTCCAGAGTGGGATTAATAAAGAGGGGGAAGGTAAATGTTAAAAGTCCCTGAAGATTAGGTGGGGTTGGAGAAAGGGGGTGGCAGTTACTCACCTATTTCTGCCATGTACCATGAGTAGGCGACCAATGTAGCTAAACTGAGTAATGGAGAAGTCTGCAGCCAGTGCAGCCTGCTTACCTTCCTGGAATAAAAGAGGAAATACGATAATCTTGAGGAAAGAGAGAATAGGTTGGTTTTGCATAAGCATTTTTGGAGTGAATGAAATAATTAGGTATTACCACTGACATCAAAAGTTGCTGTCAAGACTTCACATGCTGATTCTGAAGGCAGGCAGGCACACCCTCCCCAATTGAGAGATTTGTATAACACTTCATTCCCACATTCCTACCATTTTGTCTTGTATGTTTGTTTTGGTCACAAATTTTAATGCCAAATGTTCACTTTGAAATGAAACAAAAAGTTCAAGACCAAACCAAAACTTTTCACTTGTAAAATTAGGAAGATTCCGATAAGTGTTCAAACAATTGTTTGCTATAAACCCATAATCAAAATTTAAATTAACATTAATTCTAAGAGACTGCAATTGTTTTCAGGTTTCCTCAACAGATCGAAATTCCAAGTTAACATAATTGGATTAAAACCAAAAGGCTATAATTAAATGTCAAAATGTAAATAGAAAAATTTTTTTTTTATTTATTGGGTCATTTTATGCCAGATCCATTTATTTAATTCTTATCAAAGATAAGTTGTGTTTCAAAGTTGTATTGTATTTCATAGTGTCATATTTCAAATTTGTAATGTTTAAATAGTTTGTAGAGATTATCTAATATTTATTTTTTTAATTTTATAATTTATTGTATAGTCCTACCCCTTTCAGGAAGCCTATGATGTTTCTGATTTTTACTTTTTCAAACAGTTCTGTTAAGTTCCTTGCCTTGAAGTATTATTTCCTGATATGAGCTATGCTTCTACATTCTTTCAGAATATGTTTTACTGTCAGAATAGATCCACATGTACACTTTGGTTGTTCTCATTTAAGTATGTAGGCATGTGTGTCCTATGTGCAGTCAACTCAGGGCAACCTCCTCTCTTTGGTTTATTTTGTTTATTGTCCATTTTCCAAAAATGGGTTTTATTTTAAATAGTTTATTTTCTTTATTTATTTCCCATAATTGCTGCCATTTCTTTTTTATATATTCGTTTATTTTGGGTTTCATGTCTATGTAGGGTACTTTGAATTTCTTATCAATGGTCAGTTCTAAGGTCAACTTAGCTGCTGAGTCAGCTCTGTCACCTCCTTTAATTTCAATGTGACTGTAAAAACCAGCAGAATGAAATAGAAAATTTGATTGAGTTGAATGTGTAGTCAAGTATAAATCATGTTGTTCTGGTATTTAATGCATAAATATACAGTAAAAAATAATCCTATTTTCATTCATAATCAATAATTACCATATTTTGGGATGTACAAGACAAAAAAGTGAAGGATATAAAATCAAACTTCTTTTATTTTTATCAAGAAAAGCACAACTTATTTTGTGTAGCAATGCCAAAGAACTTTGTTTTCTTCCCAAAAATAAGGTTACATCGTATACACCAAAAAATAAATTTCTCACTTAAAAAAAAAAAAAAAAATATACCTTTCCAACAATTCCAATTCCAGCATCAGCAGCTTGGATCATGCTGACATCATTGCCACCATCACCTGAAAAGAAACTAGAATCAGCAACAGAGAATCTTCTTGACTTTTTTTTTGTTTTCTTTTTCTAATATCTTTTCACTCAAAAAGGAAGGAGTTCTCTTAGTCTCTTAAAAAATCTCTTAAGGTTTTTTGAGTGATATAGGATCATGTGGGATATTATTTGATTCAATTGATTGATTTGGAACTCAACTCTCCAATTTCCAATTCCAAGCTGTTATCCATTACACCACCCACACATTCAAGCTTACAGCAACTGATATTTCCAAGTGGTTACCCATCTAGGTACTGACCAAACTCAAAGTTGCTTAATTTCAGTGATCATGCAAGAACTGGTATTCCAACATGATATGGCCTTAAGGAACAAGTGAAGAACAATTAAAAAAAATATATGAAATTTCAGTCTTTGTATATGGAATTGCTATATATGATAGTTTGGAACTAGCTGTAAAGATATCTTGCAAGAAATATCTTTGTCCTGGAGTAGCTGATGAGTTCTTTTGCTAATATACATCACATAGACAGTTCCTATAACTATGATACTAAAATCATATAATTTAATTTTTTCTGCTTTGATAAAGAACTATTGGTCTACATATTTTTACAAGGCAAATAATATTTATACTTATCTGGTAAATGGAAATTAGACAGCACTTTGTAAACAACATCTTGACATTTAAAGGTGAAAAAAAATTGATATTTTTGTAAGGCCAAGACTTTGAATTAGATAGTGATTCAGCATCAGTAATAGATGAGGAAGACAGTGAAAACAACAATTGTCATGGAGTAGTATTGATGCCCTTTTTCCAATTTATTAATAATTTACCTCTTAAAGGACAATTAGAAAGTTAGAACTGCCACATTGGAAATTAACTCAAGAGAATGTTATTGATTAAAATTACTATCTTCCCACTTTTACATCATGTGTTCTCAACATCATTGATAATGGATGTAATTGAAGTGATTAATCAAAACTGACCACACAAATGTGATCAAAAAGGTTTTTCAAAAATGCTTGATACTTACCAACTGCACAGACTATTTTACCATTATGCATTTTAAGCAGCTTCACAATGTCAGCCTTCTGAGTGGGTGAACATCTGCAGACAACAACACAGGGACACTGGCAAGCCAATTCCACAAATTCATGCTCATAATAACGCAGACAAACCTGAAAAAAAATTAAAAGCAAAATGCACATTGTATACCAACTTGTTATTTATCAGATAATATTTTTGCTTTTACAAAAATAATGAACAAATCAAAAGCTATGATACAGTCTTTTCATGTTTCAAGTAAATTATCGAAGAGATATTACCATTTGTCTAATGCACCACAGCATCATTGAGTTTTGATTTTTTGTTGGTTTTTCATTTGTATAAAACTGAGTTTTAATATTATACAACACATCCAAAATAAGGTAAATAATAGTGCCTTATAGGTAAATATTCAACTATTTTACTCCAATTTTATAAAATATAATAAGTTACATAGCCAGTTTAATCACAAATAGGATTTAAGTAAATTATATATCAAAAGTTTCATTCAATCTGATATAGTGGCACAGCAATTATATTTTTAGAAATTCATTGGCATTTTTTTAACAATAGCTGTTTATGATAGACAGGATTGATCAAATGCTTTTAGTCATTCTAATAATAACAAAAATAATAATATAGTGACACTGCAAATACTAAAAGTTTGTATAGGAAATAAGCAAATATTAATATTAATAAAGGACATTAAGCATGAACCCATGTTTATTGCTTTATGACATGCAAAACATGCCATTTGCTTCCCTTACCTGTGCAATAAAAGTTCAGTTCAATTTTAAAGTGTCTCAGGGGACACTTGTATGAATGACCAAAAATGACAAAACTTGATAATTTGGTTAATGGTATAAACATATTCCCAACAATATTCACCACCAAATAATGAGCAATGTACGAGTATAATTCCACTTAACTAGTTTATTTGGTTTCCATTTTTAACTTGTCACTATAAAATTACTCCTTTCCACTGATTAACTTGTGCTCAACAAATTTTTAAAAATGTTAATATTATTGCTTTCCATAATTATTACATCATCAAATCCAAGCAAATTAAAAATGTCATTAACAAAGCTACAAATAAAAAACACCATTTTAGCATCAAATGCTTAAAAGTAGATTTTGATAATTTAACTATTGTAAAGTGAAATTTTAATTTTGCTATTGTAAAGGGGAGGCACGGTGGTGTAATGGATAGCAGCTTGGATTGAGGAATCAGAGAGCCGAGTTTGAATTCCAGTTGAATTCATTACATTCACTCATGTGCTAATTCCCTTTAGAAAGATATGAATCCTCCTCTTCTCCCCCCCAGCTATGGATAAATAGCAGGACAGACCGCGTTCTATAGCCTTGGATGGCAACTGGTCTACTGCAGAAAGAAATGGCAACCTACTGCAGGGAAAAAATGTGTCTTGTCAGTCATGTATTGAAAGATACATAATCACCTAAGCGTGTATCACGCATGGCACATAACTGACTGAAAATGAAGATCAAAGTGATTTTCAGTGATCAGAATATGGTAATTATTAGCATAATTTGATAAGTGTTTGTCTAAATTTGATCATTCATTTTTTATGTTTATTGCCTTTAATCTAGTCCCAAATACCCAAAAATGACAACATATTGCAAGCCACTAAGGTGCGGAGGTAAATGTAAAGTTTTCTCAATTTGTTACTAATTCTCTTAAGTTTTCACATGGTTTTACCTGGACGGAATCACCACTGATGATAAGTGCAGAATCATTCTTTCGACGTAATGCATTCAATTCCAGATGAGCCTCGTCTCGGGTGTCTACTCGTTTAAATGTATAAATGTCCATGTTGCGGGAAATGAGCTTGGAACTTTTGGCAATGCACGTAGCAGTCTCCAGTTTATCTCCAGTCAGCATCCAAATCTGAAAAGGATTTAAAAAAAAAAAAAAAAACTTACTGAGGCAGAAACTAATCTGAATATCTCAAGTATTGGCTGTGCAGACTTGGTGGGCAACCAATTGGAGGGGACCTTACTGCACATGCAGGAACATGGAAATGAGTTGCTACCAAGCAATTTTATGTAATGGTTGCATTCACAGTAAATACACATTGTTTTGCATGTAACAGACATTTGTCTATGGGAACTATTCAAATGAACAAGGTTTTCTGGAATGATCCAATAAACAAAATCTAATCTTGGTACAAATGCTTCAAACTTGGCTAAGAATCTGTTGAAAGTGATCCACACTTTGGAAGACCTTCAACAAGTAGAATATCCCAAAAATAAAAGGAAATCAGTGAAAGTGCAAGAATTACATGGTCTGGGATTCCACAGTATAGTGACATAGGCAAAATGGACTTGCCCTAATTTGCAGTGACTACTAAATAAGTCAGTCATCACTCAGTAGGTAAAGGACTTCTAAGTCGCAGACTAGAAGACATTACAATATGGCATCACTGTTGAGATTTCTAACAACATTGGATGAGCTGGACTTTGTGAAAACATGGCTTTGTTGTTTTGCTGCCCATGCAGCAAACAAAAAAGTTAAAAAACCACAAAAGTGCAGGGAGAACAAGTTTACAGATCTCTTTAGCTTCAGCAGGATGTGAGGCCATCAGAAAGATCTCTTGTGACATATCCCAAAGAATTGGAGGATTTGATCTTTTCACAAGTTGTGAGAAATCTGCAACCAAAAAGGAAGACAGTTATTACTGAGTTTGTGAACAAACAAGAGCCAAACAAATTAATAATACAGTATGTACACAAGCTACAAGAAGCTTCCAGATTCTGTGATTTTGAAAAACTCGGTACTGGAGAAGTGACTATCAAAGATGAATTGATAACACTGAAATTAATTGAAGGTATGTGTGATTCTCCATACAATAAGAAAATTTTTGGAACATTTACAACTGACTAAAATGTTCTTGGATGCATTTACAGAGGTTTGCAATAGAGTTAATTGAAAAATTCAATACATCCAAGAGTAATGTCGAAGCATACAGTATATCGAATTACATTGTGAGATGCAAATACTTTGATAAAAAGCATGAACAGGACAAGAGAAAATGTGCAGCTTTAGGACAAGTATGTTGGAATTGTGAAATGAAAAACTATTTCCAGTCAGTGTGCAAGCATAAAAGAAAAATAGAAAGGGTAGAAAATATAAACTCTCCTCAGGAAAATACAGCTGTATTTACGATACAAAGAGAAAAGTGCCAGAGAAAAAATTAAATTAAATGGCATAACTTTTCCTATGCAAATAGATATTGGGAGTGATGTCACCCTAATTCCAATAAATGTCTGACAATGAATGGGCAAACTCAAATTAAAGAAAAGTTAGCTTAAATGAAGACAATTCAATGACTCTTTCATCAAAACATTAGGTTGTTCTTGAAGGAAATTTTGAGACTGACACACACTTCAAAATTATTCCCATCATGGTAGTGAAATATAAAAAAGTCATTGACTGTGGAAATAGGTATTTTAAAAGTGGATACAAGGAAACTAATTAACAGTGTGAAATTGGAAAGTAATGACATGAGGATGTTAAAAGGATACAAGGCAAGTACTCAATTAAAAAGAAAATAGTCAACATTCTTACTTTGAGTCTTGCAGACTTATTCACATGCTACTTTTAGTTGTTGTGAAACTAAAAACAATGGTGAATCAAGGAATTTTAGAGCATGTTCCTTCTGGTGCTAATATTTGAGCCACTCCCATTGTTTTATGAAAACCGAAATGGAGATTTAAGGATATGTGAAGATTACAAAATAAGAGTAAACCACAAAATATGCTCAGATATGTGTCCCCTATTCCTAACATTGAAGCTGATAGTCACAAGTTGTCAAGAATAAAATACTTTGACAAAATTGACCTCAAATCTACCTATAACCAAATACAAATTGATGTAAAATTTACAGAGGTCACTAAAATCAACTCTCCAACAGGCTTACTCGGAAGTGTATGCCTTATGGTGCAAAAACAGCAAGTGCTATTTTTCAAAGAGCCATTGGAAATTTACTAACTGGTGATGTTAAGAATATGATCATCTATGAAGACAATACATGTATTTGTGCTAGCAGTAGAGAAGAGCTAAAACAAATTCTGGGATGACCATAAACAAGGATAAATGTGTGTTAAATTGGGACACAATAACATATCTGGGATACCAGATTTCCAAAGATGGAATTTCACCAGACACAAATTTAATAAAGAAAATATCTACACTCACAAATAAAAAAAAAAATTGGAATCTTTTTTAGGTTTAGCCAATTTTTTTTACAGCAGATATTTGCCAAAGTATAGTGAATTGATAGAAAACTTTGTGCAGTTAGGAAAAAAGGACAATGAATTTAAATGGACTCAATGGCAGATTAAAGCATTTGAAAAGTTAAAGAAAGAACATAAAAACCCATTGTAAAAAAATTTTAACCTTCAAAAGGAAGTGACTATGTACACAAATGAGCATGACATATCAGCAATTTTGTCTCAAGAAGGTCATTCTATAATGTATCTTTCTAGAAGTTTAATGTCAGTTAAGGCTAACTATTCAAATATTGAAAAAAGTGTTAGCTATCATCATATTGAACACAGATAGAGCTTACCAATTTTTATTAGGCAGGAAGTTTCTATTTAGACCTGATAATAAACTGTTAAGAGTTTATTTTTAATTCCAGGAAGGAGTTACCTAAAGTTACATCTAAGATTTTAAGATGGACCATAAAGCTCATGGCCTTTGGCTTTGACATTGAATATGTGAAAGGAAACACTATTCCACATATAGATGATCTATCAAGACTAAAGTTCAACAATGAACCATTAGAAAGATCAGAAAATTCAGAAGATAAAATATTACACTGGATTGAAACAGATGTATTACCTTTAGATTGTCTATTAAGCAAGATTGAGTGTAAATTGCAAAGAAAAAAAAAATGAAGCACTTGTTCTGGGGGTAGAGAGACCCTATAAATAGATAGGCACAGGTTAACTATAGAGAAGGGCCTGCAATGGAGACGTTTTAATAAGGGTAGAGTTATCATGAAATAACAACAACACAGAGATGATTAAAATTGAAAGTATGGTGACTTGGGTATTCTCATGATGTAGAGGAACACATACAAAAGTGACCAAAATGTAGCAAAATAAACTTTCACCAAATCAAAATATATTCATGGCTTAAAGTAAAAGAGCTGTGAGCCCACATTTATATGGTCATGCACGTTAAAGGCATAGGACTATTTTTAATTTTGGCTGACTCTGGATGGCCTGAAGTGGATAAAGTTCAAGCTAGGAATACAGTGACAGTAAAGCAAATGTTACGCGTATTATTTATGGGGGTGTCAAAAACATTAGTCTCTGACAATGCACCAAAATTGTGCAAAGAAACTTTCTGTTCATGGTTAAAATAAATTGAATGCCTCCCTTATAAAACACCACCATACCATCTGCAATCAAATGGAATTGCAGAAAGAATGGTGCAGACAGTGAAAATGGGATTCAAGGCATTTTCCCCATCCAGAGACACCATAGATAGTTATCTAGAAACAATTACCAAGTAATAGAACTATTTCTCATGCTGGTAGAATGCAAAGTCCTCTGCATTGATGGGAAGATAAATTTAATCTATAACAATAACAATGTCCTTCAATAAATGAAAAAGTGTAGTACAAGGACCACAGAGAGTCAATAGAACTAAAAGCTAATTTTATTACACAAAAGGGACATAATAGCAACAAGATGACAAAATTTATTGGTCATTCTGACCAAATTTGACCTAGAACTGATGATGAAGTTCTACATATCTGAGCGATTCTTTTAACCATTATCAAGGACAATTTTTATTTTTAATTGAATGTGTGGGTTTATTTATGTATGTGTCTGAAGTTACAGGAATGTTTTATTTTACAAACACATTCAGCATATTGTGGGCATGTTCAAAGTTAATGTTATTGAGTGTTGGCTTTTCCTTTTTTATTATTAGCGCTTCTATTATTTTTATTGCATGTGGATGAGGCTATTATACTTGTATTTTCTACTAGTATATTGTGGATGGAGTTTGGTAGATTTCCATGTGAATTTAAGTTTAATTTTTACACATTATCCAGAAAAGAAAACACTTGTATAAACACAAGAAAAATTAAATCAAAAGTTTAACTGCAGTACCTTGTCAGTCATTTTTAACAAAACTTTATATATATATATATATATATATATATATATATATATATATACACACACACACACACAGGGTGTATCAAAAATTACTTTTACAAACTTTGGGGATGGGTTCCTCACACCAAAACAAGGACAAAAGTCCATATTAAATCCTTCATTTTTGAGTTATTAAGTTTAAAGAAAGTTTACAGTAGATGGTGCTGTGTTGCCATGTAGACAAGATTGTCATTCATGTACATTTGTGTTTAGTCTGTTTTCAACATGTGTAGTAGTGAATTAACTGAGAAGTGTTCTGTTTAACAATGGCAGGATATTCATAACCTGAGCAGGCAGATATGATTTTTACATATGGCCGTGTGAATGGTAATTGATGCACAGCTATATCAGCTATATTGCATTTCCAGATTGAAGGCAGCCGAGTCATCCAACTTTTGCTGCTGTTTATCCTCACATTGCGGAGACAGGATTCGTAGCACCACAAACTATGGATTGAGGAAGACCGAGATCCACTCATATGTCTGACCATGAAGAGCACATTCTACAGGCTTCAACACATGTCAAGTAGCCCTAGCATGTCATACATTTCACAGTACTGCATGAAAGGTACTTCAAGAGCAGGCCCTGTATTCATATCATTTGCAACATGTGCAGGATCTTTCGCCCTCTGACCACTTACCATGGGAGAACCTTTGCCAATGATTTATTGCCCAAACTGCCAATCCATTGTTTGTCTCTTCAGTCTTATTTATGGATGAGGCAACATTTGGAAGAAATGGAACAACCACCTTACACAATCAACGTTTGTGGGTGAATCAGAATCCTCATGGTACAATACAAGCTAGACACCAGCATCAGTTTATGATTAATTTGTGGTCTGGAATTGTAGTTGACTTTCTGGTAGGTCCACATGTTCTCCCACTATGTCTTACAGGAGACATCTACAGGAACTTTATTTCAAACACACTTCCAGACCTGCTAGAGTATGTACTTCTGTTAATACAAGAACGCACGTGGTTCATGTATGATGGGGCTCCAGCACATTTTAGTCATACTGTTTGTGATGCACTGGATGACATCTACCATGAAAGATGGATAGGTAGGAGAAGACCAGTTTCATGGCCTGCACATTCCCCTGGACCTCAATCCTTTGAATTTTTATCTGTGGGGCCACCTAAAACAATTGTTTTTTTATGCAGTAAACATTAATAATGCAGAAATGCTTCAACATATCATAGGAGCCTGAAAACCATTTAACACCATGTGGGAGTATTTGAAAGGGTCTGCCAGTCAATAATCTGATAGGGGTAAGCGTGTGTAAAAACAAGTGGAAGACATTTTGAACTTTTGTTATGAGTTGCTGTGTTGAGGTACAACAATGCCCTTTTCAACATATGTTTATATGGACATTTTACCCTGTTTTGGTATCAGGTGCATGCCCCCAAAATTTGTAAAAATCTTTTTGATACACCCTCTAGATATATTTACATACACTATCTCAGGTATTAAGCACTTTTACCCATAAATATAGCATATCTTAAAACTTATGAGAGAGAGAAAACGCATGTAATGATTGCTTGTATAACTATCCAAAAGAGAATTAAGAACATTTAAAAATAAGCCAATATATCAGAGCATTCATGAAAATTACAATTATTGGGGAAAAGTTTAGAACATAAGTAAATAAAAAAGGACTTATTCAAATGTTATAATTATTGAGGTGAAATTTTTTTTCTAATTTTATCATTACTTCCTTTGAAATATCAAAGTTTTATGCAGATTGTACAGCTAGTGATCTTGTCGTCTAATGATAAAATGGAGGAAAAAAAAATCCTAAACCAATGTGTGGCTGTTACTTTTATATTAAAAAAAAAAATCTTTCACAATTTGATTAATATTAATAATTCATTGTTGAAGCTTGCCAGTTCATCAATTGGAAGACTAAAGGAAAAATCTAAACCAATGAATAACTTTAACAAGGCATTCTTCCTTTTCACTAACAAAATTGTTACTCTGGAAACTTAAGTAATGCCTATGTCATATTGATTTTGCTCAAATCACCCAGAAAAATAAAAGACACATGAGAAACAAGACTGAGCTGTGGATGAAATACTGTAAATATTATTTAATTGCTTTAAGCTAATCAGATTTGATTTCCTAATTTCCACTGACCTTGATTCCTGCATTCCGGAGTAATTCCAGTGTTGGTCTTACTCCTTCTTGGAGTTTATCTTCAACCCCTGTAAGACACAGCAGTTCCATATCTCGCTCTAAACTCTCAATAGCTGCCTGCATTTTGATATTACGATCCTGAATGCTCATCTTTGCTTGGTGATAGCGTGCCTGAAATTGAGGAAATAGATCAACTTTTAAAATATCACTATATGGTCTTGAGGATATTTTGCTCATTATCAGACAGGTAAAAGAATAAGTACAACAGACCCAGCTGAGTCAAAGCAAAACGTTCTGTTTGAAGTTCATGGAAGGTTATTAAATATATGATAAAACAAGTGAAGAAGATTCTAGAGAAAATGCACAGATGTTTAAAGAATAGCTTATTTTTGGTACAATCTTTTATTAAATTGTTGATCAGGTCTAAATTTAAACTTTTTCAGAATTTTATTTTTACTTTTATATACTGGTTATACAAGCTAACAAATTGTAACTTGGTAGAAAAACATGTCTACATTTGTTCTAAAAATTTATTCACAATATAATGGAAGGTTTTAAAAATTCTAGTTTAGTACAATTTCTAAAAGATATCTAGCAACTCATAAAAGAATATAATAGTCATATATGTAACCCAACACTGATAACTCTATGGAGTATTGGAGATTGAAGTGTATAAGCAACAAAATTACTATCATATCATTAGGCCTGCATTTGTAACTGTTTGGTAACACAATTCCAATTATAACATTTCATTTTACACCTGTTAGTTTTTGAAGAAAACTGTCATCCACTAGGGGCGCAGTACCACCCACATTTTATGGTAATCACTTTATTAATCACTTGGGATCAGGATATTTTGAGATGACATATCACCAAAATATCTTATCAATCACTCAAGGACAATGATTATTTACAAACTGTTTTATTTTATTCACTGCGAGATTAAGAAAATCCAAAATAAAATTTCTATATCATAAGTGGCTCTAGGACAAAAGATTGTCTGACAAAAAAAAAAAAAAAAGTAAAAAATTCAAAACTGTATAATAACTATATACAAGCAAAAAGTTGGTCTCATATCAGTTGAAAAGCACTCTGAAAGGTTCAATAGGCACTTACTTCAAAATCAAAATATTGTTCTTCAGTCAAAGTCTTTTTGGCTACGACCAATGTACGCAGTCCTTCTCGAGCCATGTTGCCACACTGAAATCACAAATTTAAATTTTCAACAGTTAAAATTACAAAAATATACAAATTTTGTCTCTTGCAATATTTAAACCAAATGCATTTGGAAACCAAGCCAAAAAAACAGATTCACATTAAAACACTATAATAACAATGATTTGCAATGTGAGTAATTCTCACTTAATGGATCTTTAAAAGATGCAACTGCTTAAAGCATTAAAAACAAAGACCTCCCAAGTTTTTATTTAGGGAATTCATTTACAGGTTCACTGAAACTAGTTTTTCTTTTAAAAATGAATTGACATAATTAATTTAGATAAATAAGTTTAACCCCTCCCCCGGAGTAGATGCGTATATACATTTTTTACGGACGAATAAACATATCCAAAACATAGCATTCAAAAACCAGCTACAGATGTGTTTATACGTTGATCTTCTGAACTTGAAACAAGTCTAATTGTCAACTCATATGCCTGGTAGAGGTGTTAACCACTGCTGGGGTACATCAAGGTGCCTCAGTTTCTTAGTTACTATATTAAAAACAAATAAAAAATGAAACGTTTTTCCCAAAATAATTGGTGGGGAAGGAGTTAAAATATTAAATAGAAAAGAGTCAACTCACTTCTTCTTCTAACCAATCATTGTACTGTACAATTGATGTCATTACTGTGTCAGCACCTTTCATGTAAAAGGTAATTTCTCCAGTTTGCACTTCCTGAAAAATAGAAAAGCTTTAATTTATTGACTCAAGAAATCTGAACCTCAATGAAGAGAGACTTATATAAGGTGGAGAAGCAACAGTTACAGTAAACTGACCAACAGCAAATGAGAAGAAACTAAATGCAGAACAAAGCGTATACAGTCAGCTATAATACACACCTATTTTTTCTTCCTTTATTTTAGGAATATCATGGAAAATAGCCACACAGAAGGACAAACAGCAAAATGTGTCAGACTTGCTTCATATGTAAATTGACCTTAAAAGCATCTCCACCATAATTGGTGTTTATTTGCACATTATAAACAATATCAAGAAGAGTACAGTCAAGAGAAACTCCATCTGGGTGCTGGGGTCAGTAAAAAGTGAAACCAGGATTTTATTGATGTCCTCAATACCCTAACTGCAAAGGACATCCATGTGTAAGATAATGTCTGAGCCAAGAGTTACATACAAGGCTATTCAAAATGGCCATGCATGACACCCTAGGCCTTAATTCATTGATTCTATAAGAAGAGATGCCAGAAAGGTGCAAGAATATGCCTAGTTAACTCAAGATTTATGGGTTCATAGTACATAGTTTTGATCTGACAAAACAACAAAGACATCAGAGTTAACAGTTGATTTCAAGGATACCTTCAAAATCAAACATCCAACCCAGGTCATTGTCTTGAATATCATATCCTCAAGACAGCGAAAAACTGCTCACATACTTTTGTGAGCTTGAGTACTGATGCCTATTACAAGCTCCTGGAGTACAATGTTTTTGCCAACTACCCAAAAACAGCCATGATCTGAACCTGCTAATCTATACCTAGTGCAATTTTGGGGGAGTTTTGCTGCAGATTATCAACAAAAACTTCCACTTTAGTATCTACATACTCAAGGAAGAATAGGACAAGATATTGAAGGACTTCATGCTTAACAGTTACACAAATTTTCAAGATCATGTGATTGTAATTGAAAATAATGGAAATCACATTTAATAAATTATTTGTTTAATAACAAATAGGAGTTTCATTAATATCCTTTTGTACAAATAGGCCTATCTATGCATAAGCAAGTTTCAAAATAATCATAAAGTTACAGCAAATCAATAAAATAATCATAAGATTATTTTATTGATTTGGTTCAATGAATCTTGCTTAAGACTACTTACTGGATCACTATTCCCAATTAATACTTGTTCTATCAATTTCCACCTTATAATGAAATTTCTAGACACAAATACCTATAAACATTTTACAAAATGTACTTGCTTTATTAAGAGTATCTTACAAAGTTGATAAATATGGTTAATTCATTTATCTTTTTTAAAGAAGAGGTAAATTAACAAGTGTAAAGCAAAAGACTTTTTTTTTCCTCAAATAAATTTAAATGTCTCAAAGTTAATCAAAACCTAGCTTTGCAGTCTTTAGATCACATTTTGAAAACAATATCAAAACATCACAAACCTTAACAATGATTCCCATCCTTTTTGATTCTGATGTGAAAGGAAATAATTGCATTATGTGGTAGTTGACCAGAGTCCCTAGTGGTGTTCGCAGTTGCAATGAGTTAAGATCTCTTTTCACAAGCGTTAAACCAACTTCTTCTGTCCAGCTAACTAAGGCTACCTAACCAACAAAAGAAAAAAAAAAGTTAGCAATAGCAATGTCAGTGTAAAGAGCCATTCATAAAACCAAAAACAAAAATGACTAATTTAAGTTGCATCAGTAATTTGAACACAACCATGAAATCTAAATCAGTCATAACATGAATAACCAGTAACAGCAACAATATTCTTTTTTAACTGATACCCTGCTATTCTAATTTTCCATTTTAAATATAAGCTGTTGATCCATGGGAGTAAAATGCAATATGGTCAAATCCCAAATTAAAAATGCTGGGGGTATACATCTAAAAGAATAAATAATCCTTATTTACAACACACAACTACAATCTTAAAAACTGATAAGCACAACTCATAACATATTACTGCTTTCTTCACCCATGAAGAACAAAGGGTTCCTTTGTCATCCAAAGTAGTGTTCTTTTATTGATTTAAGAAAGGTTGATAGACAAGTGCTAAAATTACTAATATACCATACCTATGAACACTAATGGATATGTCCCAATCCTCATAAATACACTATCATAAGTGGGGATAATATGCTATCTAAGTAGTCCACCACTAGCAGTGGTTTACCTAATTCACGCCGCTGGCGAGTATTGTATTTTGTTGATGTTATAAAGATTACCATTTCACTTCCAACCTCCATTTTGGTTGTTCATCATTCAGTAACCCTTTCTAGGTTATAACATTTTGGCGACGAGGATTTGGCTGAACTCAAGTAAACATTCACAAGTACAACACTTGGCAAACAAAGATTTCGACAGAACAGAACTCAAACATTCACAAATATGATATTCTACAAAGATATCAGTAAAATTCACCAAGACTAGATTGGTGAAGGAAGATCAAGAAATTACCAAAGCTACAAAGCGTTTTTGGATACAAGGATTTTCTAATGATAACATGAATATTAACCAAGTTGTTTGAAATACAACATTCAGAAAAATACGGGATATTATTCCAACTACAAAGGACTGGAAGCAACAAAAGTTACTTGAAATTGAAAAATGTATTTTTTTCAATTTACAAAAATCATGTATTTTTGAGAGGGTGTAAAAAGTGTTACATTGGAAGTTAATTAGTAGGAAGATTTAAAGTGTTTTTGAGAGACATTATTATAAAAGAAAGAAAAAAAAAATAAAGGAAGCAAAAAAAATACTTTTGTGAAAAGTTAGTTCACATAACAGTACAAAATGGAGGATTTTAAAACAACTTTACTGGAAATATTGAAACAAGATAACGAACAATGGCGACATTACAAAGACTTGAAAAAAAAATAAAAATAGGAAAACCAATGTTAATGGTTACCAAGAAAATCGCTTGTAGTGTTACAGGAAAGAAAATAAAATTCAAATGTGAATTCATAGTAAATGTAACAATAAGCAAGAAAATGTTGAAATTAAGACTGTAATGAAAAATACAAATAACCTTTTTGGAATGGACTGGATGGAGCAGTTTAAGTTATGGAACAGTCCAAACAGTTTTGTCAAGAAGTTAAAGGTTTTACCAACAAAGCAGAAAGTTTAAGGGAAGAATTGAAAATTAAATTCCCAGAGATATTTTCTGGTGTGTTAGGCAGGTGCACAAAATAAAAGGTAAATTCAAGCTAAAAGGAAAATGTACAACCAGTTTTCAAAAAGGAAAGGAATGTACTATAGCAAAGAAAACGGCGACTTACCTCATCAAACCAAGCGACAGCGCATCGCATGTATTCTACGACAGAAAATGTGTCAAAAAAGAAAATTACTTACCCAAAAAAAGGGCACGTATTCTGCACGACATACTGAAGACAAAATGTTTAAATTAAAAAACAAGTCCATTGCAGGAGTCGCTATAAAAGTATTTTGATATGCAAAAATTGGGCGTCCTCTCCCAGCTGTCAACAAATGGAAAAAATGCTCGGCCAATAAAAGCAGTTGGTGTTCTCGAATCAGGGGAGAAAAAATTTAGCTATTTTGGCTACCACGTTTGTTGGAGAGCGAGTTATTTTTCTGACTGGTTGCGTGCATTGTGAGATAGTACCTGCGAATCAAGTTTTTGGCATTTCTTTCTGTCCCCGATGTTCAAGTCTGAACTTAGTGACTTATTCTCTGCGTTGTGGAAGTAATCTGCGACAAATATTTCCTTTGCAATCCCAGATCGCTTACAAGCTATTTCAGCACACCTGGTGAAATGGTAGCCACTACCATTTTCTCAGTTGCAATATGATCTTTCATTATGGCCTGAGCTCGGTCCAACAGTTGGTTTGTATTCATGTCTTCCATCCTGGAAGATGCACGCAGTAGTTGCTTAACACCCTGCAGATTGCCTTTGCACCAGATCGTTTCTTGGCTTACTAGCAGTTCGCAGAACACCAACTGCGTCCAGATGAATCTGTCGATGTGTTTCTAGCCGACTTGAAGAAGCTAGCAGGTCTATTTGGCGGGATATTCGAGCAAGGACTAACAGCCAGACGTGATTGATACTGTTCTGCGTTTAACAAATGATGCACCAACATGAAGCCACCCACACACAGAAACTTGACCCACCAGTTTTCCACACCATGAGAAGACGTTACATTGCGTCTGGACCTCAGGAACTGATGGAATGCCATTTTCACTTAAGTGTGTTGTTATCTTGCTCGACATGCAAACCTAGCACACGTGTGCTGGTAACCCTGCTATGAACCCACATGCGCTTCCATGGTGAACGAAACTTCTCCTGATCAGATACGTGCTATACATTGCCAGAGTGGACATCCTGGCGTCAGGCAAATGCTGTATTCTGTGAGATGAGTTTACCCTATGACATTCAAGGCAGCCGTCAAGGCAGTGGTCAGAAAATGTAAAGAATGCCAGTCAATTGACCCAGCCTCAAGTCGTTGGCCATGTGGCAACCTAAGTGTGACTGGAATCTGGATCCACTTAGGAATGGATATTATGCATTATGGTGGGCAACACTACCTTACATTAATTGATTGCAGCCCCAGTCGATTTGCGATATAGTGACACCTGCTTCAACAAGACTCAAGAAGCGTCATTTGACATCTGGAAAGTATTTTTTTTGAACAAGGCCCACCATCAGAAATCCTAACCAACAATGACACTGCATTTCACAGTAAGTCCTTTAAAGATTTCTTGGATGACTGGGGAGTCCAACTTCGTTTTCGCTGCGCATATATTCCTGCAGGAAACGGTATAGTGGAAAGATCTCATCGGAGTATAAAGCGAATTGCAGCAAGAAAGCAGTGTTTGATAATGGAGGCAGTATAGTGGCATAATATCATGTCGAAGGATTATATATCGTCGACTAATGCGCTTGCCAATATGATTCACCGTTACCAACTGAAAGTGAAGGGAATTACTACAACATTACCACCTGATCGTTGTAGGTATCACAATATATACAAAGTTGGGAACAGAGTATGGGTGAAAGCTCCCCATGGCCGGTGTACCTCCAGGTATCAAGTGGGTCGCGTGACAGACATTGTAAGTCCACAAACAATACTAGTTGACAGGATGCCACGGCATTTAAAAGATCTTCACCTTTTCGTTGATTCTGATACATGGCCGAGTGAATATGATGATGGTTCATCATCTGACAGTGATCGGATAATTAAGATCTGCGAATCTGATGCTTTCACAGATGCAGAGCTTCCGGAAACTTGAGATACGTCTGATGACTCCTCAGGAGATGACTCTCTGACACGGTAAGTGAGATAGTTCCATTACAACGAAGCCCCAGAATAAAGAGAGCTGTTCCAAGCTGTTCAATTTGTGATAATGCGATCAGGGGGGAATATAGCGAAGAAAACAGTGACTTACCTTGTCAAACCAAGAAAAATATTTCCTTTGCAATCCCAGATCACTTACATGTACCCTTTGCATCAATGACAAGCTTGACAGACTCAAAAAAAAAAAAATGTGTGTTTTATCTAAAGTTGACTATAGCAATTGGGCTTCAAAAAGTCTAAAGAGATACATGTCTGCATAGATTTCTCCACAGGCTTAAATGTTGACTTCAAAAGTTATCATTACCCACTTCCAGGGGCCAGAAGAGGTTTTTTGTGCAACTTAGTTGGGGTCGGATATTTTTGAAAATCAACTTAAGCGACGATTGAAGTGGACGATGAATGTTTCTTACAATAAACACACATCGGGGAATGTATAAATTCAATTGTTTGGCTTTTGGAATAAAGGTCACCCCAGCTATTTTTCAGCAAGTAATGGACACAATTGCTTAGTGGATTTGACTTTGCTAATGGATATGACCCAATCCTCATAAATACACTATTGTAAGTGGGGGTAATATACTGTCTAAGTAGTCCACTACTAGCAGCGGTTTACCTACTTCACGCCACTGCTGAGTATTGTATTTTGTTGATGTTATAAAGATTACCATTTCATTTCCAACCTCTGTTTTGGTTATTCCTTATTCAGTAACCCTTTCTAGGTTACAACATTTTTGAGGTCTACTAAAGTAGATCTGATCTTGATTTTCCTTTATGACAAACAGGACAGAGAACACAAATTCTTTTTTGAGGTAAGTTTTTATTTTCTCTTGTTGCCACATGATCTAAGACTTATCTAAATCAGCAGATATGTTATTTCTATATAATGAAATGTTATTCGTATCAGAATGAAATAATGGACAAATCCGTTCTTCTCTTTATTCATTGCATTGAAAAAAAAAAAAAAAAAATTAGGGATAAGAATTTCTGTAAAATTTTTTTTTTTTTACATGTAGTAATAAAAAGGAATAGAAAACGCAAGCAAAACATGGATAACAATTATTTCCAGTTTTTCTTTTAAAGAATGTTCTTTATTCTATTGCCAAAACAACCTACACTAGACTGCAACACGAAAAAGTAGTTAGGAATTTTTACAAACATATTTATTTTTTGTTTTTTAATTGGTATGTGATGTCACTTATTCTGACTGTTCTCAGCATTTTGTAGCCCAATTTCATTAACAGTTCACTGTTTATATAAAAAATACCATGGAATGTTTCAAGAAAATTAAA